TGGTGTGAGCATCTTCATTTGGCAGCTGGACCAAACGTTATGCCCTCAGCCACCTCCAGTTGTGTGTAAGAATGTGGTGGGTCTGGCCGGGATGGAGTGAACTGGCTTTGTCGCAGCCCCTGGGGTGCTGTGCTTTGGATCTGTGGCTAAACCAGTGTTGATAACACCCCAGTATGTTGGATGCTGCTGAGCAGTGCTTGCACAGCGTCCAGGCTTCCTCTCTTTCCCACTCTGTCCCTGCAGCAAGTAGGTTGGGGTGGGCAAGCTGTTGGGAAGGGACACAGCCAGCACTGCTGACCCAAATCGAGCTATTCCACACTATTTATCAGCGATAAAACTGCTGGAGGTAGAGGCTGGGGGTCAACTCACCACAAAGACAGTCACAAAATGTACAGGAGGAAAGAGAGCAATCCCTCCATCCAACAAATCCACCTGCCAGGGACTGCTTCAATCCCTGCTAAAGGTCTGTCAGAGACTGGCTGCTCTGTGGCCGTTTGGTCTGGCTGGATGAGGAGGAGGAGGAGAGCTTGGGTAGGGGAAGGGAAGAGCTGCTCTGATGGCAAAATCTGACAGCCCCGGTGGGATTTCCCCAAGAGCTGTCCTAGCTTGCTCATTCCCACTGCGATACACAAAATGCAGAACAAATGTCTGTAAGTGCTCTGGCACTTAAGAGAAAATGGAGACATTATCAGCAGTAACGTGGAGGGTCTCATCTTGTCAAGCATTTGAGTGACAACTCTTTCCCTTCACATGGTGCAGAATAGCTGAGCCTCGCTGTGGGAGACTTTTGTTCTCCAGCTGGGAGAAGTTGGAAAAAGAAACGGTGTGCAAGTGGCATGCTGCCGTGGAACAGCACACAGGCGTGTGGAGCTCCGCTCCCTTGCCACCAAGGACCTGGGAGATGTGCGGCTGGGGAGCGGGAAGGGTGCTGATCTGCAAGGCTGGAGCAGATTCAGAGGGTTTCACTACCCAGCTGCTAGGTTGCAGTAGTGCTTTATCCCTGCACTGAGTGAATTGTCTGTTTTTCTTGCATTTCCTAAGATCTCTAGAAAGAGGTTCCTTGGCTGAGGTTACCCAGCCACGCTGGGCACTCCACAAGCTGAGCTTTGAAAGTGGCTGCTACAATTGTGAATGTTCCCTCTCAGTAACAGATCATTTATTAAAATAGTCCATGGAGGGGCTGTGCCCTGACACGTCCCATCACACTCCCTCAGGTTTTTGACCACCAGCCTCTCTGATACTTGCTGCTCTTCTCTTGGACCATATGTCATTGGTTGTATTTACCTTTAGGAGGTTACAGTTTTTGTGCTTTCTTGTGTCTTTGTTTAGACAAAAGATCTCCAAAAATACAAGCCATATTAAGGATACAGCCTCAAGCTCTGCTAAAATAGCAGTTCATATTTTTCTGAGTAGGGTCTGTGGATCCCTTCTGTCTCTCAAGGTCTCATTCATCTCCCTTCAGGTCTGATACTGCTCTAACACAATTAAGATTGAACTAGTCCACAGGAACCTTTTGTTTTCATTTCCTAGACACAATCAGGTGCATTAAGAAAGCTGTAAGGCAAGCTTTGCATCTATTAAATGAGATAATAACTTTCCCTTATACCTGCTTGGTCAGAAGTAAAGCATATGGAATCTCCTAGTCCTTGAGATCTGTTCCTATAAACAACCACTCTATTATCTTTTAACACTCTTACTTGCTTGTGGTTTATGTCATTATATTTATTTCAAAACCTCAGATTTTGACATTTTGTTCAGAGAAGAAAAAAAACAATCTAGCTGGTTGCCGTGAAATTTAGTTTAGACTAAAATATGTGCTGTGACTCAGTCTGCTAAATGACCTTATGCACTGCTCATTGTAATCCAAAATTGCCAGGCAAGTAGAGTAATTAGTTGTGCAAAATGAAATAACTTTAAATCCTCTCATTGAGTAATGACCCAGAAAAATCACTTAAGCTATACAATAGAAAAGGCTCAAAGCATCTGGCTTTATTTTTACTTTTGTAGCTCTGCCCCCTTTGATTAAGAAACAGGCTCTCCCCCTCGTCCCCTTAGAAACCCTGGCTGTCGGTTGCTGCCCAGAACAAATGTTGGGGGCTTAGCTGCCGCTGCCCTAAGAAATCATATCTTCTTGTAAAACGGCAGGGTAAATCTAACAGCACCAGCATGGCAGTTATTCTGCAAGGATCGTATACGTTTGATAAACCAGCAACTCGTATCTGTTTAAAGAGCTGCTTCATGTCATCTGAGATGAGGCCAAGTGATAAAAGCCCTCACCCAGATCAGCAAACCCAGCTGGGTAGCAGGACCAGGGGAGGACCTGCACATGCTGCTGACGTACTGATACCTTTGAATGCGGAGCGGCAAACTGCTGAGCTCTCCCTTGGCTCCACCTAAATACATTGTTTCTAATAGGATTTTTTGCAGCATTTATCAGAACGATCCACAATAATAGGTGAAGTCTCACAGCAGCCCTCCTACCAGCCCCAGAAAATACATCACCTCTCAGCAGGGCAGAGCCGAGCCAGAAAGCCCCTCGACAAGCCTGGGACATGGGTGCTGAAGCCTTCAGCCAGGCTTCCACATCCCGTTACCGAGCGCTCAGTGCCAGTGAATTTGGGCCAGACCTTTAAAACATCAGGTATCGGCTACAGTGAAAAGTAAGATATTGCCCTTGTGGGAGTATCAGTGTGACTTAAGACACGAAACTCTACTATTTGTTTATGAGGTGGGTAGGGAAGTGTCAGATAAAGTTACATGAGACCTGCCAAGGAGATCAGATTTATCCTCTGTAACCTGATGGAATAAAAGGGGTCTCGAAGTCATCGTGTTCCCAAGTCTAATCCCCACTGGCCATAAAATCCAATCTGCCACCAAAGGGAGGAGATGAAGTGTTTTTAATAAGAAAATGAGCCGTTTGCTGCAATGTGCTTTTAATTGGATCAATTTTTCCTTTATTACACAATCTTTAAAGACCAAACACATACGTATAACCAGACAAACTCTTTCTCCAGGTAGAGAGCAGAAGCCAAACTATTTCATCACAGTCCTTAATTACTCCATTTCATCTCGTTTGGCAGACGATTACAACATTGTGTGGGGGCACCACAGCAAGAAATAGAGCTCTGCAAAATCATCTCGCAGTCTCTGTCGAGTTTTGTCAGGGGACATGCGTACCCCAGGCGAGGGACAGCAGGTTTTCTTTTTCCCTTTTCTGCCTGAAACCCAAAACTAGAAAAGCTGCAGGCGACACACACCCCCAGGCGCCGATCGCAGTGTCCTGGCCCACCAGTGCATCGCAGGGTAGTGTTATTTTTCTTGAATCTGAGTGAGAAGCAGATGACAGACGCTTTGTTTGAACTGTGTAACCAGGAACAGGCTGGGGTAACCAACTGCTCAGTTTACTGGACCAGCTTTTATGTCCCTTCAAGCACTCCAGGAAATGTTATTGCTAGTAGTGTGATGTTTATTGCAAAAAAAAAATAAATTCATTGGAACAGAAAATGACAGAGGTACATATTATCATAGATAATATTGCTTCAATTATTCAGGTCCATGGTAGCTTCCTGCTTGGAGCAGTTCTTAAAAACAGCAGAAATGTTTAAAAGAGATCAGTAGGAGAGGAACTGCTATTACCATAATACTGGAAAAAAATGCCTTGAGTTACAATGTAATTAACTGCAGAAGGGCCCAGTAATAGTCATCATCTCCCCAAAACATAAACGCAAGATGAGATTGGCTCCCCAGATTGCTGTTACAGACCTTAGGCAACTGCCCCCTCCCTCCCAAAAAAGAGAAGCAGAGAATGTAAATAATAATGTGCAAGTTGGTGGCCTTGGCAAACACAACGGAGCAGCTCAGGAGGAAGGGGGGGTTCAGTTCCCTTGGGGTCCCTCAGCACCATCTACTGTGCTAGAGTCTTAGCTCCTACTCCCTTCTCTGCAAGCTTTTCTCAGCAAATTCTAGCGAGACATCAGAAGTAGCCCTGATGGAGGGGCACCTCCATCACACAGCTGGGTGTTTGTTGTGCTGTCTCTCTTCAGTGCTTTGGCTGAGCAGAAGAGGGAGAGAAAAAAAAAAAAACCCAACCAAAAAACAAAACCCACCAAAATCTGCTCCCAACATTTCTTCTGCAAACCCTCTAACTGCCAAACAAGTGGCCAGAGCAGCAGCGGCTCTGAAGCCTGTTTTACTTTGTTGTTTCAATAGGGGAATGTAGATGGGAGCTTAAAAAAAAAAAAAAATCACCTGTTGCATACATGTAGCACAAGTAGCTAACAATTTGCTGTAGCACGGCAGCCACCATAAAATCAGCTTTTATGTTGTCTGTCGTGCCCCAAAATTTGCAACTACGTTGTTGATAGCAACAAATAAATGCACTGCGGTGTAACTATTATTTGAGGCAGATTAACATGCTACCACTGTGCCCTATTTAAATGCATCTTTCCTTCAATAAACTATTCTAAGCGAGCAGCACCACACTGAGGTACACATTTATCAGCCAGGAGAGTAGCACTGTGGGGGCCTTGGTTCACACAGCTGCAGTTTTGTGCTTCATTTGGCCTAAAGCCGTGATGAACATGAACTCTGGTGCCTGCTGGTGCTGTGAAAAAAAAAATCTGAGGAATGTAGTGTTTTGCTGTGCAAGGGAAAAAAAGGCAATGTACCGATGGACGTGCTTCCAAGTATTAAAATAAAAGTGAAAGTTCCCCCCCCATCTCAGCAGTAGCTTGCACAGACAAAGTGCAGATGAGTGGAAACCTACCGCTAAACGCAATGGCCTGGAATGCAGAATAGTGAAGTGCAGGTGAACGTACAATATGCTGCATTTAATCTCATTTACTACAACCTCCCAGTCTGACTCTTCCAGCCCTTCCCCCCTCCCCCTGAAGCTCTAGATACCAGACGTTACCTTCCAAAGACAGTTTTCAGGATACATTTAATAATAAAACAACAGCAAGTATCAACCATAGGTTTCCCCTCCTTTTTTTTTCCTCCAGCCCCCTCCCTTTTTACCCCTTCTACCTAGCAGAACTCCTAGTAGTACAATAAAAGCCCTGTTGCCATCAGAGGGAAGTTTTCTGGCTCAGCTTGGTCTCCCATGATTGCACAGTACTCACTTCACACTGAACAGACACGGTTCACAAATGGCACGACAGGGGCGATCTCCTGAATACCAGAAAAATGGAGAGAGAAAACCCTCCCTTGTCAGTTTGAAAGTAAAGCTCCATCTCTGTGCAGTTTAAGAGGGCTATTTCGTTTTATGCAGTGCTGCAATCAGAAATTGCTTTCTCTAGTAGTTGCCCAGACAACTGCTACCCGGTTCCTTGTGAGTACCACAGCGAGAAGAGGATTGCCTCTCTAGTCCTCCAAGGGAAGATGATTTAGAGCAGTCAGTCAGTGTTTATGGCACAAAGAAAGATACAACAGTTGAAGCTGGAAATCTAGGAGATGTGGCAAAAGGAGAAGGTTTATGGAGTGACCAGTCATTTAGGAAGGAACCAATACTCCAGAAGGATGGATCCTTTCACTCATGCTTGTTCTTTTTTATTGTATGGATTTTATGTAAAGAAGAAGAAAAAGCAGACCACCACCACATCAGCTATTTTGTTTCTAAACACAAAGCATGATGGCCTCTGTGCCAAACCTCCTTCAGTTACAGCACAATCTTCCCGAACGCCTGACACCACTTCCCGACAGATCAGAAGGAGGCTGGAAGAATCTCTGCTGCCAAAAGAGGCTTTACCTAAAGACATGCCTTTAAGGAGTAGAATATCTTCTCAGATGGTAACTGTAGACCTTAATGCAATGATCCCAACAGTCCAGCACCAGCAGCTGCCCTTTGGGAGTAATGGCGATACCAATGGGACAGGTGAGTCCTTCCCGGATTAAGATATTATAGCCACCTCCTTTAGGAAAATGCAGGATTTCTTTACGGCTGCTGTCAGCAACAATGAGGTCTCCTCTGGCATCGACGCACATCCCAGCAATGCACCTGAAATCCTCATTCTCAGAGAAGAAGTGGCTAATCTGGCGTCCCAGCTGTCCATCAGGGCCAACAGAGCCAATTGAAAAGCCTCCTTCTAAATGGTGTTCGTACTGCCGGTTCTCCAGGTTAAGCCCCAGCCCTTGAGTAAAGTATATGGTCCCCTCAGCATCGCAGGTGACGAACTTTGGGCGCACTGCGCTACATAAGCAACTGTACTTCACCACCCCCACGCCGCGGTCCACCGTGAAACACCAGAGTTTGCCCCCTTCCACATCGGTCACTACAAACTGCCCGGAAGGCAGAGCGGCGATGCCCCAGGGCTTGCTCAGCTGGCTCCGGTGACATGCCACGCAATGGCCATCCATGGTGTAGACCTTGACAGAGTTATCGTAGCTGTCAGTCACACCTATCAGGCCGTGGCAGTTCATGGTGACAGAAAGGGGAGTCAGATTGGGCAAGTCTGCTCCAAGGAAACTCAGTACAAAGCTATCGATTCCGCTAGGGCTCCGGCGAATCTCCTTCAGAAAGCCCTTGCGGGTGAAAACCTGGATCCGGAAATTGCCTCGGTCTGCCACAAGCACCTCGCCTTGCAGGGTGACATGTAGGCTGACGGGGAGGTTAAACATCCCTGGCAGGCTGCCCTTGGAGCCCATCTTCTTGATGAAGTGACACTGCTGGATGCTCGTGGCTGCTTCAGGCATCCGTGGCTTGGCTGGTGAGGAATTCGGTGTGCATCTGGCCTCTTCTTGCACCAGGTCAGGCTCCCTAAACAATGCTGATGAGGATGCTGCAGTTTCCATCAGCGATTCCTCTATGTTAACAGTTCGGGGTTTCTTCACCACCTGCCCGATCTGCAGTGGTCCCACGTGGCTCACCTTCAGGAGTTCAACCTCTTGGAGAGTCAGCTCCCTTGGGAGACTGTTCGTCAGTTCTGGTTCTTCCTCGTCTGCTGCCTCCTCCAAGAGAGCGATATCTCCCTGCTTTATTTTGGCAAGGAAATAGTCACAGCGAGACATTATCTGCACTTCTGCTAAGTTCAGCAGATAAGCTTGCTCCTCCATTACCTGATTATTGACCTTTTCCACTTCAGACAAAGAGGTGGTGAAGAACTTGCGTGACCTGGCCAGTTCTTCCTGGATCTTGCGCTCTTCTTTGCTGTAATCTTGCAGAACTGCTTTGTATCTCGATTGCAGATCTCTCGAAACACCCTCCAGAGATGCTTTTCTTTTCTGCAGATCACCCATGAGCTCCCGAAGTCTGGCAAGCCTCGTCCCAAATTCCCTCCTACGCTCTTCAGCAGCCTCTTTGATAGCAATGACTCTATGTCCTTGGGGCATGTGCGATGTCTCCTTGCACGGCTCACATAAAACCAAGCTACAGCTCTTGCAAAAGTGTCTCGGCAACCTTCTCCCGCAGACCTTGCACATGAGAAGACCCACCACTTCCCCCAGTCCCGCGGTGTCTATGATCTTCAGCACAGTAAGATTGTCAGTCAGCTGAGCTAGGCTTGTGATCCGTGTGATTTTGCTGCAAAAGGGGCAGCGTATCCCGTTAATGCTGTTTGCTAGGAGTTTCTCCAAGCACTGTTTGCAGATGGTGTGGCCACAGTGTAAGAGCTTGGGTCTCAGGTGCTCCTCAGTGAAGGACTCCATGCAAATGGGGCACTCCAGGACCTCTCGCAGCGCATCCGAGTTGAGGTGAGGAGCGGCAGCCATGGTACAAAGTCTTGTACTCACATCTATTCCAAGGTGTTCCAATTCTGTCCAGAAAGAAAAAAAAAAAATTATTTATGTTATCACCAGCAGTTACACATACACACAATTTATTTCTGATTTATCACCCAGCCCTGGAAAAAAGAAGCCCAGTTAGCTTTTCCACATTTGGAAAGGATGGATTAGTCATAACTAATGTCAGAGTGGGCAAATTCCACAACTAACTTGCAGCTCCTAGTGCAATGATTATTCACTTGCAAAATTTATAAGTAGAACTGAAAGAAGTGTAATGGCAGCAATAAGGAAGCCCAATAGATATTGATGACTGAATCATCTCCTCATGGTGCCCATCTCCCGCTGCCAAGCCTCCGAGTTTACATAATTTACTGAAACCCAGGGAGATTAAACCAAGCATTCAAAATGTTGTGCATCAAAATAGGAACCAGATGGTGCAACGCTTTAGGACATTAATATATCACCTCTGGAGACCTGCATTCAGATGTGACATCAGATACAAACGCACTAGATGTGGTTGCTTTACTCTGCTTTTCCAGATAGCCAAAATAAATTTTCAAGGTTTCATGCATTTGCCAGAAAGTGAAACCAGAAGGAATGATTTGTCAGCTTCCACTCGTTCTGGGAGTGACTGTACATACTGAAAACACACAGCAAAGATTTTACGCCAGTGTATTTCATTAACCTCTGCCATGCTGCATCATGCTTCAGCATGCAAATTAAACACAGCTCGACGCAGCAGTGTTCGAGCAGGTATTTGCAGTAATGGAGTTAACAAACAACTCCAAAGTGTTCACTATTAGTTCTTGAACTAAGCTTAAGTGCATATAATTTCTCCTTATTTTACAGTCTTGCAGCGTTCTTGTATTCTGGTTCAGTTTTATACCACTCTGGTTGCCGTTCAGCTTCAATCTAGGTTTCTCCATCCTCACATCCCTCACAGTGGGGAGCAGATCCCAGCAGCTCTCTCGCTGAAGCAGCCATCCATTCAAAAGGAACAGAACAGGGTTCACATCATTAAGTTATTATTCAGTAGACTGGGTTTCAATACCTTTGCTATCGCATTGCTTAGCCATTAAAAGAAATGGGGAAGAAAACATTTCTTCTAGGGGGAGGGGAGGAGAAAGAAGTAGTTAGTCTTTAAAATTAAGAGACAGTCACAGAGGGATGTGAACAGCCAGCTTTTTCTGAATAATGGCTGCATGCATGCAGTGCTCTGGCTTCCCTGCTGGGTTTGCCTGCTTCATCCTCGGGAGCGTTTCAGACAGAAAGGTTCACGGTATTTCAGTCTGCCATTTGCTCAAGTGGGAGAATACAACTGCAATGAAGAAAAGTTCTGTATGTTCATACAGAGAATGAAAAAAAATCATTGTAATTTATCAGCTGCATTCCACAGTCCTTTAAAGCCCATATTTCAGGAAGGAATTCAGTGGTGTAGCAGAATCTCCAAGTACCAAGCTGGGAGCTGATCCTCGGCTCGACGATGGCAGGAGTGGTGTCACATCCCCAGCCCCCGGGTGCAGTCCAGGCGCTCACCGCCGCTGGCACTGAATATGCTTGCTTCCCTTTTCTTCTTAGCTGTATGTCAGCCAGGGAAGCAGCAAACTAGGCACTGCTTTTTCTTCCCTTCCTCTGAGGGATAAAAAAAAATCTGTATTTTAAAACGATTTTTAAAAATGAAACACAGGATACCAGATCCGTTATGCTTATTTTCCTTGGAAATATGTCAAAAGACTTGCTTAGGGAAGGATGAGGGAGCAGCACAGACACCAGATACACCAGAGATTTACATAAAAAGTCACCTTTACAATAAGTATTTTCACTGAAGAACAGTGGCAGTGGGACTTTGTTTAGTTTTAAGTTAGGTTGGCTTTTTAGAAAGATGATTTGTACAGCATTCTTTTCATGTATAAACCTCTTTTATCAGAATGTCAGCATGTGCCTTAGTAATGTGAAATTATTTTTACTGCTGCACTTTTATCTTTATCTCACACTCGGTCGTGCCTTCATGGAAGTTTCCTTAACAGTTGTTCTTGCCTATCAGTCCCTCCCTAGGCAGTTCCTCTGGCGCAGAGCAGAGTATTGGAGAAAGCCTCAGCTGAGGATTAAGCTATAAAACTCTGTAAATTATGTGAGTTTGGTTTCCTTATATTCAAAAAAATTTCCTGCCATAGTTTTTCTTCTCACTCTGTAGCCTTTAGCTGGCGTGTGCAGCGAGACAACTAGTTGCACTTGTAATTCATAGCTTGTGTCAGGAACAAGTGAAAACCACAGGGTAGAGCTGCACAACCCGCCTTGTGCCTCCTTCCCCCCGCGTTTACGGCAGCCCCCGCCCGCAGGCCGCGAACCGCCCCCGCCCCGCCCGGCTCCGGGGGCTCCTGCTCGGGGCAGAGG